AATGCTATAAGAGAAACCTTTTTAAAAATTCTAAAAGTGATTGCTCTAGGTGATAGAATTATGGGATTTTTTAAATGTTTTTATTTTCTACATTGGGTGTGCATTATTATGATTAGAGAAGTATGTCAATTCTTGAAAAATAACTAGGTGTGAACTAGGAAGTGACTTGTAGGGAAATTTGATTTATCATCCTAGTACCTTGAGCAGTAATAGGTAAGAAGAACCCACTGGTTAGATATGTAACCATTTATATCTCACATGAAGAAATCGTGGGCCTTTTCTTAATCTCTAGTAATTATTTCTGTAGACTTATGCACATAGACTTGGCTTCAAAGACAGTTCTGAATGATTTGGTATAAATGACACTTATCATTATTTTGCTTTTCTCCAGATTTTAAAGAGATTGCTTTTTCAGGTGGATAACAGTGATTTCTGGAATGTTTATTTCATTTAGTGGTCAGTCTTTCTACTCAGAAAATTGAGTCAGTATGTTTACTTCTCTCTTTTCCTCCAAATTAAAACCATTTAGCAGAGCATTTGAAATGAAGAACTGTTAGAGATATTTTGCACCTTAAATCTGCACGATAAAGAAATCCTCTGTTTTTGTTTTTTTCCTAAACTTAATTGTTTTATTAACATTCATTTATTCATTCACCAAATATGTTTTGATCATCTAAGTGCCAGCCACCACTGTCAGTCAGCTCTTAGGCTAATCAAAGAGAAAAAAAGACAGAAATCTTGCCCAATTATTATGTTACAGTGGAGGAGGTAGAAAATAAACAGTGAACATAATCAAACAAGTATATATCATCAAGTGATAAGTGATGGAAGGAGGACAAATACAGAGCTACAATAAGGGATATTAAGGAGCTGTGGGTGGTGGTGGTAGGGAGGAAATGGGTTACAGCTTTCGGTAGGCTAATCAGGTTAGGCCTTATTGACAGACATATGAAAAAAGACTTGAAGGAAGTCAAGAAATTAGCCATCTGTGGGGGAGTATTCTAGTCAGAGGGAACAGCCAATGCAAAGACCTAAATTAGGGACATGTGCAATGTTTGGGGAGAATGGGACAGATTAGAGTGGCTAAAGCAGACCGAATAAGGTGTGAGGGATATAGGTGAGGTCAGAGAGGTGATGGGAGATAAGATTTTGCAGGGCCTTGACAGACTGATGTATAAGGAATTTGGTAGTACTCTGAATGAAATGAAGAGTTTTGCAGTTTTGAGCAGAGGAGTAATATTGCAAGGTGACCAGTTATATTCACTATAGTCTTGCTAGAGGAGGTGACTTTTTTTTTTTAATCTTCACCCGAGAACATTTTTCCATTTTTTGTTCAGATAGAGTGGGAGGGAGAGAGAGAGAGAAAAAAAAACATTGTTATGAAAGGGACACATTGAGTGGCTGCCTCCCTCACGACCCAACCAGGGCTGGGCACAAACTGCAACTGAGGTACATGCCCGTAGCAGGAACCGAACCCGGGTCTCTCTTTACCGCAGGTCGATGCTCTAACCACAGAGCCAAACCAGCCAGGGCAGAGGAGGTGACATTTTAACTGGCCCTGGTGGGGTCAGAAAAGCTTTGCTAAGTGAAAAAGATAAGAGATTTGCTTTTGTAGGCTTAATTTAAGAATATTTCCCATCACCATACTTATGAAAATTAAATGTGCCTTTTAAACCAAAGCCATATGTATATGCTATTTGATTTAAGGTTAAGCAATTCTAATGTCATATAATGAACTCATTTCTTTGTGACCTCTTATATCTGTTTAACCATGCTCATTTAGAAAATTGATGTTCTAGTTTAATAAAATTTAAGGAGTTCCTATAATCCAAGAGACATTTCCTTTTTTTACTCAAATTCAATTAGTCTATTAACAATTTCTTTAGAAAGTGAATAATTGCTATTTGCCTTTCTACCATGAAACTATACATTAAATTGAACCGTCTTGTGTATCTTATTATTAACTAAGATTTATTTATATACTTTTTTATATAAAAGGCTCTACACTCAGTTGTGAGAAATACTTATAAGATACAATTTGTCTTTAAGGTACTTAAGATCTGGTAAGGGAGATACATATTACACAAATGGTATAGTAAGATAAAATGTGAGTTTACTAAGTGGGATTCATAGAAAGTCGTCTTCTCTACCTTTGTAGAAATTTTCTATCTATTTAATCTGATCAGGCTTTCTTCAGATTCAGCCTCTTCAAGTTGAACTTTAACTACTGAACAATATTTATATTTTCTAACACCATGTATCAAGTTTGAATTGCCATCTTATTGCCTGTAAACTCTACATACTCTGTAGATCATATCTCTTAGTACTGTTTCACAAGTTTGTAATTTGGTTGAGAGCAAGGGCTTGGCTAGATATCTTCTCCCTTAGATACAGTTATAGTGTAGATATTAAATAGTTAATTGGTAGTGAAGCATAGCAAAGGGTAGTGTGGAATATAGTTTTAACTATAAATATATTGCACTTAATATTATGTTTCTGGAAAGTTGAAAAGATTACTGTAAAGTAACTTTTTGAAAGGATATTCGTTTTTTCAATTGATGCTCAAAATGAAAATTAAGCTTTAATCCCAGTTTAGGTAAAAATTTAGTAAAAACTGTTTAAGAGATCAGTGATTTTTTTTTCTTAATGGAAGTATTTTTTGCTTAGAAAGTACTTCATCAACTCTGATTTTCCAAATGGTCTTAACAACAAATTCATTTTTAAAAATTCTGACACATAATCTAGTGCTTGATCATCATTAAAATAATAGTTTCGATATGGTAATTGCCTTCAACAGTCACTTTTTTATACCTGAAAAATGTTAAATATTTTCATAAAATTTGACATTTTTAGAAGTTTGTTAAGTTTGGATTGAGGAAATTACATCTTGGTAACACTGTCAGCGTTTGTGATATATGTCATCATTTATTTTTTTAAAGAACTGACGGGGTCCTGAAATGTCATTGATTCTTAGTGTTTGGATAAGATTATTTGTGTTCTTGTTTGTAAGGATAGTTGATGTCTGGTTTTGTGTGATTGTGATTGCTGTTCTAGATCAGTTTGGAGCCAAATCACTGGAGGATGTCTTTTACCAGACCATTTCTTTGCATAAGGAAAAATGTATCAGTGCTTATTGGAAACTTATTGAATCACTGTTAAGTTATTGTATAACCAGCTTAAACCTAAATGTGCTAATTCACAATATTAAAGCTTATCTTAGATATTCTTAGATAGATTTTACATAGAACTTATATGCTAACAGGAGAGATACTCTTATTAGAATATAAAATGATTGATGTAGTAAAAGAACATACAAGCATAATGTAATTATATTTTGAAATATTAATTGCTTTAGAACCTGCAAAAGTCTTCTATGTATCTCTCACCAGTCCCCAAGATTTTTTTTTTGGCTTTCAAGTATACAATATTTTAACTTTACAAACATTTATTGAATGTGGATTGAAAAAGATTGATATTCTGTAAGATATAGCTGAGATATTTGTATTTCATCAATTTTAGGACATAATTGCTAGGCTCTAAATCTAGGTTAAATGGTATTTTTTAATACTTATTTAATTATCTTTGGGACTAAATTCAAGTGAGAAACTATAGTGCTTACTATCTATCTAGTACTTACTAGATGGCAGTTATAGTCAGCAAAAAACTTTATATTAAAAGAAAATCTGTATGTGAATAATTTGCCTGCTGTGATCAGTCACCATATGTTTACTGAATACCTTCTTTGTTCATAATTATCAGTACAGAAGATAAAGACAGTTATAATTTAGATGGAAGAGAACATTTTGGGCTGGAGTCAGCACATCAGGCTTTGAATAAAAGTAAATTTCAGTCATATCTTGAAAGAAGATTAAAATGGATTAGTTGAAAAAAGAGCAAATAATCTTTAGAGAAGAAATCTTAGTTGTTTGGCAAGATCTCCATTTTAATTTTAAAAAATAATGCATTTAATTATTCCTTTGTCTTCATTTGTAAAGTTTTTTTTTTTGTTTTTTTTTTATCCTCACCCGAGGACACTTTTCCATTTTTTCTTCAGACAGAGTGGGAGGGAGAGAGAGAGAGAAACATCAACGTGAAAGGGACACATCGAGTGGCTCCACCCGCACAACCCAACCAGGGCTGGGGACAAACTGCAGCCGAGGTATGCGCCCCTAGCGGGAACTGAACCAGGGTCTCTCTGGACCGCAGGCCGACGCTCTAACCGCTGAGCAAACTGGCCAGGGCTCATTTGTAAAGTTTTTTAAAACATCATTTGACATGTCAGATTTAGAGTGTTCAGGAATTGCTGGATAATAAAAACTAAAAATTACTGGATCCAGTTTAACTGCTTTTGCAAGAAAGCCCATCTCATAATAGGAGCTTTTTAAAGAAATAATATATAAAATGATTTTGGTTTTTAAAAAGCACTAGCCAGACAGTAAAGAAGTCTGAATTTAAATCCTAGCTTCATTCCTTATTTACTTTGTGACTTTAGATAGGTCGTTTAACTGAATTTGCTTCTTTGTAAAATGAGGATTAAAGTGCCTGACTTAACATATTTCATGTGAAAGAATATGTTTTTATTGACTGTTTTGGAGACAGTAAAAAAAATTTTTTTTATTCTTACTTCAGGACATTTTTGCATTTATCTTCAGATAGAGGGGGAGGACGAGAGAGAGAGAGAGAGAGAAACATCAATGTAAGAGAGACACATCGACTGGTTGCCACCCACACGACCCTAATCGGGGCCGGGGACAAACTGCAACCAAGGTATGTGCCCTTGGTGGGTATCAAACCGGGGACTCCCTGGTCCACAGGCTGACGTTCTTAACTGCTGAGCCAAACCAGCCAGGGCTGGTTTGGACACTTTTAACTAGAAGCTATATACATTAGAAAACTTTTATTTTTACCAACATAAGAGAAATTAGAATATGTGAATTCTTAAACGGTGATAAGAGAATTAATTTCTGAACTATACATATTTTGCTCCTTTTTCTTGCTAGCGGATACTTTGTTTTCAAGGAGGCTGAATGGGAAATACAGGCTTGAGCGACTTGTTCCAACTGCAGTGTATCAGCACATGAAAATGCATAAACGAATTCTTGGACACTTGTCATCTGTGTACTGTGTAACTTTTGATAGAACTGGCAGACGGATATTCACTGTAAGTAATTTTTAAAATATCTTAATTCATATGTGGAATTTAAGAAATATTGCTTATAGTTGAAGTTTAGATAAAACCTTTGTTTTTTCTTTTAATGAAAAACTGGAAATTCAGGTAATTTAGTTTGTTAGCAGATTTTACTTAAGACTGGACTTTATCCAAGTTTGGAAAATTCCTGAAAGACATGCTTTTCCACAGTCCCAGCATTATATCAAATATGCAGTTTGAAATTTTATAAAATGTCCTACAGTAATTTTAAACTATAAGGGCATTTCCAAAGTGTGTTAAGCATATCAGAGGAGATTAATAAATGTGTCTTTTTAACACCTCTTTCTTTAATATATAATGATGTTGTATTTAAAGAGTTTCTTTGGGTTTATTTGTTATTGTTTTTAATTTGTTGAATGAAGAAAAGTACTGCTTTTCAGTTTTAAATGAGAAAATTACTTTTGGAAAATTTCAGTTTATTTTTAGACACCGTAACTATTATATCTACTAAAGGTAATACACTAATATGATTGTACTTACAGTTAAATACTATTCTGTGGGCTGCAAGTAGTGCATCTATTCACAAGGTTCTCACTTTCTTTTGAAATAAGAAAATAGCAAATGGAAGTTAAAATGGAAATTCCTATCTCTGTCTTTAAACCAGGCAGCTGTGAATTTTACACAGTTGAGACAATTATAGATTCCCCTTTTAAGTAAACATGCTTATAAACTGAGATTTATTTATATCTACTTCTCCTCTACTTGTATATCCAGTCATCTGTAAAACAGCAGGCTGTGGGAAAGATTTTTATGTATCTTTTCCCTGGTTCTGATCCATTTCAGTCATTTGTAGGTCATTTTCTACTTTAGTATTCTCCCCCTTTACCTTATTTTTAAAAAATCTCCATTGTTCTTTACGAAGCAACATAAAAGTGAAAATTTTTAAATATTCTGGCAGGTTATTATTTTCACAGTGAAGAACCAGGGGAATCTATTAAAGTGTTTGATATACCTAAAGCAATAATTTGCTCTCAAATAGTCATTGAAAATTAGATTTAACTTTTTCAAATTCAGTGTACTAATATTTAAATTAAGTTCTCAAAATATAAAGTGAATTTCTTATTTCTAATGTTTAAAAGAATTCTTTCAAAAATAGTAATAAACTCACAGGGAAGGGGGGAGAGTAGGAAGAGATTAACCTAAGAATGTATATGCATATATGCATAACCCATGGACATAGACAAGTGTGGTGAAGTCTGGGGACAGAAGCAAGTTAGAGGGGATAAGTATGGGGAAAAGGGGCAGTATCTATAATACTGTCAATAATAAAGATTTAAAAAAATTGTAATAAACTGAAATATGAAGCATTACATTGTATTTGTAGTTCAGGTGAGTAAAAAGCTATGCCGTTGCATTGAGATTGTAAAAAATATATAACTTATTAATTTTTGATGTTTGTAAAGTACCTTGTGGTAATTCTTTCTTTAAAGACAACAGGGATGGTAAGCATTTGGTTGTTGGACTTTATGAAGCATTGTGTGTTTTGATTTTAATTAGGTACATAATTTAGAAATATTTTTAGGGAAATGGAGTGAAATACTAATGCTTTTGCCGTCTCGTAAGTAAGTTTATTTGGAGTGGTAGGTACAGAGTTAGAAGAGCTCCACTCTGAAATCAGCAGTTAAAAAACTGCTGTGAGTCACATCTAACTTACCACCTGTTTTGGGAAATAAAATTGTATTCAAACATAGACATGCCCAGTTGTTTATGTATTATTTATGGTTGCGTTTGCACTACAATAGCAGAATTGAGTAGTTATGGCTGCAAAGCCTAGGATAATTACTATGTGGTCCTGTACAGAAAAAAATTTGCAGCTCCGGTTCTAATTGTGTAATTTCAACTTTAAAAAAAAAAATTTTTTTTTTTAAATTGATTTTAGAGAGAGAGAGAGTAAGTGAAAGGGAGAGATAGAAACATTAATGAGAGAAAACATCTATTGGCTGCCTCCCGCATGCCCCCACTGGGGATTTGGCCCACAACCTGGGCATGTGTCCTGGCCAGGAATCGAATTGCCATCCTCGGTGCATGGGTCAACGCTCAACCACTGAGCCACACTGGCTGGACTGTAATTCCTACTTTTAAGAGCATTTGATTTGGGGAACAGAATTCATATGTGAAGAGGAAGCTGTTTTCAGATTATTTTCCTTTGTTGAAGATACATAAATAAAGGGGAAAATTATCACTTACTTTATGTGGTCTCACCAAGCGGCTAAAAATGTCAATGTTTTACATATGTGATATAACTTGCTGATTGTACCAAAGTCAGTGTCATTTGTAATTTTGTAATTTTTTATTGGTGATGTGTAGTTACAGATTCCAAAATGAATCCTTATAAATAGAAATGCAAAGATGTGAGAGTACTGTTATTTTAAAGTTTCTTGTATTTTTATGTTTAAGTCCTCAAGTGGCAGGTAAAGTAAATATGTGTTCATTGTTCATAACACTTTATACAGTGGGATGGCTGCTGGATGGGTGTTCCCTCATTCCACTGGGAACAAACTAGTCACTGACTAATGCTTTGAAAATCAGTTTTGAAAGCTGCAAGGATAAGGCTTTAGGATAGTAGATCATGATTGACCAATGAAAGATATCCAGTGAGAGGGTGTACTGTTGTTATTTATTGGAATAGCAGTTCAGTAATAGAATAACCAGTATTCCTTATTTATGTATTTGGTATCTTAAGATCTTGCACATTTATTACAAAAGATTTTTTTTTTTTAACCTTACCCAAGGATAGTTTTCCATTGATTTTCAGATAGGGAGGGAGGGAGGGAGGGAGGGAGAGAGAGAGAGAGAGAGAGAGAAAGAAAGAGAAACATCCCATATGACCCTAACCAGGGCTGGGGATCAAATCATAATGTGCCCTTGACTGGAATTGAACCCGTGACTGACTCTTTGGTCTGTGTGCTATCTCTCTAACCGCTTAGCTAAACAGGCTAGGGCTATTACAAAGATTTTTGTGTAGATATAGTTGAAAGCTTTTCCCTAGGGACTAATTCTATTGAGTCTTTTCTGAGTAGGAATAGCTAGAGGCATTTAGATAGCACTTTGGTTAAGAGCATCAGCTTGGCATTAGGGGTCTCTTAGTTCAACTTACAACTTTACCACTTCCTAGCAGCTTGGACAGATGACCTCACCCTTTAATTGCCAGTGTCTCATCTCAAAAAAAGTAGGAGTGGAATAGATAATAATAGTACAACCCACAGGAGTTTTGTGGGATTACATGAAATAATGCATATAATTAGTATAGAACAAGATATATAGTAAGCAGTCATAAAGTTTTACCTGCTGGTATTAATTTTATAGATTAAGTAAATTTTGTCCATTTTATTTTCTTATCCAACAAAAATCTTGTTTATAAATGCTATGCAAGATTTAAATTGAAATCATTGTAATTGATAAGTGAAATTCTGTATTTGGAAAATTTACCAGTATTTTGTACTATAATATTTTATTTTATTTTATTATTTTTTTTTATCCTCACCCGAGGACATTTTTTTGTTCAGACATAGTGGGAGGGAGGGAGAGAGAGGAAGAGAGAGAGAGAGAGAAACATCAACGTGAAAAGGACTCATCGAGTGGCTGCCACCCGCACGATCAACCAGGCCCGGGGACAAACTGCAACCGAGGTACGCATCCTTAGTGGGAACCAAACCCCGTTCTCTCTGGACCGCAGGCCGATGCTCTAAACGCTGAGCCAAACCGGCCAGGGCTGTACTAGAATATTTTAATAATGGATTTCCCAGTAGAATAATGAGAAGAATCCAAGAAAGGAGATAGAGAGAAGCATAATTACCAAGACTTGCTCTCTAATTCTCTCTCTTAGTGTTTAACTTATTTTTATTTGATTTCAGAATCATTGCCTTAAATAATATTTACTTAAGTAGAGTTAATGAATTCTCTCAGGAGTGTGCTATTCACTCAAAATATAAAAGTATGTTAAGGACCAAAAAAGAAGATATAATGTGATTATCTTATCACATTATCTTTATCTTGAGACTGCTCAAGATACTGAGGTATCTAAAATAGTAGAGAGGTAACTAATCCAGTGTGTAGTAGAGATGGTAAGAGAGACTTACTAGAGAAGTGACACCTCAGCTGAGTTGAGCTAGACATTGCAGACTTAGGGAAAGACATTTATAAACTTTGGGAGAAAGTAATGTGCAATTGTATATTATTGGATATGGCAAAGAATGAATATGGATCATCATTAAACAAGAGCTAGAGTTGATGGGGGGAAGGGCAAAATCATCAATATTCTTCTGTAATATATGAAGGATTGAATTTCTTTCCTAAAGTCAATGGAGAGAATGACAAATTTAGACAGAAGAGTGAGTAAAAAAATTTTTAATGACCCCTTTGGCATTATTAAAGAGGATGGATTGAAACTAAGTCTATATTCAGAGGAATTTGTTCTGGCAGTGATCCATGAAAGAAAACATCAGGGCTTGAACAGAGCCACAGTGGAAGTAGGGAATGGAATTAACAGATTAAAAATACAATCTCTTGGATTTGAGAGATACATTTGAATGTAGGGAGGATTTAGGAGAGAATAGTATTGGATGACATGTGTTTAAACTTGTGTGACTGGTTAGAAAGTCCTGTCATTTCCTGTGGTGTTGGGATTTAAGTGGAGAAGTTTGTGAGGGTGGGGCATGGTGAATTTGGCATATTCATGTGGCTAGCCAAATAGAAATGTTCAAAAGGCAGTGGGAGCTCAGGAGAGAGATCTAGGCTAGAAGATTCAGCTTGGGATTTATTGAATGTGGAAATTGACTATGTTACCTCATAATTGTGTGATGTGAGAAGGCTGAAACTTCATCCTTTAAAGCAGACCAAAGACAAGGAGAGGAATCTGGAACTGAGAAAGAACTGCCTAAGAAGCCAGAGAAAAATTTTTAAAAAGTGGTGTCTTAAAAGCAAAAGGATTAATTACTATTTCATGGGAAGCT